ACAACTTACGTTGTTGCACCTGTTACAAGCATAAAACATACCATATAACCAACCAATAAATAAATGAATTGCTTATTTAATTTGATTACGCATCGAACGGATTTCCCACCCAATCCCTGCCCTAAATAAATTGAGGTAAACTACACCGAGAGCTAACCGGGTAGGCAAATGCCACATGAAAGTGATTGGACGTCCTGTGCATAAAATAAATAAAGGAAAATACACCGTCCGGTACTCCCAGTAGAAGTTATGGTTAAATATAAAACCCATAATTTCCCCCATATGTTCATAATCGAGGTATATACGTTCCAAGAGTTTTGGTGCGTAATCTCTTTCACTTTACGTTGTTTACATATTTTTAGACTTGGTGATAACTCCCAAACCATGACACAATCAATCATAATAAATCATTCAAGTAATCAAACATACCGATTTAATTCTTGAATAATTAGTGATCACATAAAATTTAATGTTGAACCCTTTTAAACTACCTCGGCATTAAATAACACCTTAAGCGCATAAAGCACCGAAATCCTATCCCTCGATGTTTAGAACACCTTAAGTGCACTTAGGCACCGCATTTCCTTTTATTCCTGTGTACTAAGATACTTAATAGCTCAATTTCCATGCTTAAAGCATCAATAAATATTATATGAACCATAATAAAATTTCTTTTTTATATTCCAAACCAAATTAAACATTTAGTTTAATCAAATATGCTCTCAATCATGCTAATAATAAAAGTGTGATTCATAATTAACATGCCAACATAATTAATTCCAATCATAAATTCACCACAAATAATCCATACTTCACAAATCAATCACCAACATCAATTCAATCAACAATTCCAACCAAGACCTATCATGATACTACCTTGGAATTAATTAAACAAAGTCTAGCATGCTTCTACACACTTAAATAATTACCGAGTACGCGAACGTACCTCGAATATGATCTCAGATCAAAATCTCCACGACTACACAAAATCACTCACTTGGAAATCTCCTATAACCCAAAATTTCAAAGAGACATTAATACCTATTCATAATACATTTCTAGCAATATATACACTCTTTAAATCACTTTTAAACCCTGTAAAACATGTTAAAAAATAATTTAAACCACCTACTTTTATTCCCAATTAATGGGTAATTAAAAATCCTTTCAAGAAACACAATTCTAACCTTTATATAAAAATTCCAGCTTTATAAAAACTTATAAAATTGCTGTAATTATGTTTAAAAACACCTATTTCAATAATTTCAATCAACTACAATCAATTTCCATCAATATTCATTAATTTAGAAACCTAGGGTTTCCAATTTGGGGCTTTTTTAATTCAAAAACCAAATCTGAAAATTAATTACATAATAATAATCATAATTCAAACACCATAAAATCATAACACGCACCAAAAACAATAATTAGATCAAAGTTAGATTGAATTAAAACAAAGAAAAAAAATTTTATGAAGGTTGCGCACGCACACCACCACGGTAGGGCTACTGTCGTGCGCCCGCCGGTGGTGCTGGTGGCGGTGGCTGGCCGGTGGGTGGCTATGGTGGTGGTTGGCCACTCGTGGGTGGCGTGTGTGGTGTGTGGTGTGTGGCGTGGAGGTGAGAAAATAAAAGGGGAGGGTGAAAAATTAAGGGGAGAGAAAATAAGAGGAGAAAGGGAGAGAGTTTACCTTTGGGTATCAGTGGCGAACTGGGCCTTATGCCTGGTGGGTCAAACCAGGGCCCAAAAAAAATTCTAAGTTTTTTTTTAAAAAAAAAATAAAATAAAATAATTTCTTCTCTAATTTCAGAAATCATGACTCAGAAGCGTTGTCCTCAAGCCCTAGCCCTTGCCTCTTCGCTTGAATCGCTTCTTCATCTTCACCCAAATCCCGCACCAGCGGACCACGGGACCACTGACCAGCAGCGGCTAGCAGCCTAGCACCGTAGCACGACCAGACCTCCAGACTTCAGTGCTGCTCAGCTGCTCGCCTGCTGCCTCTGCTCACTGCTCTTCGCTAGTTCGCTCAATCGCTCGGTCGCTCACTGTTGCTGCTGGCTGCTGCACACAGCACACAGGCGGCTCGCTGGCCTCCACACACTGATTGGGTATCTCATTCTTCTCTCTATTTCGTTGATTTTGTTAGTTTTTTGGTAAAAGTTTGAAACTTTGGTTGATTTTGTTGTTGTTTGTTTGGTAAACTTTGAACCTTTTGTTAATGTTGTTAGGTTTTTGATGAAATTTGAACCTTTTTTACCATGTGATTATGTGAATTGACGAATTGTGGTCAGTGTTTGATGTTTATTTAGGATGTTTATTAGCTTGTTAATTATTAGTTTGTTAATTTTAGTCTTGTCAATTTTCTATTTGGATGATCTTTGTAAATAATTTTTCTAGGGAATATTGCTTGATTTAGTTGATTATTTATTCAATTTTCAGAATGAAGAGAAAACGCACTCCAAATGAAATGCAAAACATTACTATTTAGTTGTCTTTTGTAGTATTATATGAGCATTTGGTTGTATTTTGTACTGTTTGAATATTTGGATGTATTTTTTAGTACTATTATTTGGTTGTTTGGTAAAAAAAATTTTTTACATATTTGATTATCGATTATGACTCACCAATCGGAAATTCCTGGGTCCGCCACTGTTGGGTATTCTCCATGGGCAAGGTCTAACTTGCTCATGTGATGGGTATTTATACTCTCTTAAAACTCTCCTAACTTAAAATTCCACTTTTACCCTTAATGATTCATTTTCCTATTCAAACTAGTCTTTGACTTTCTTTAAATTTCATTGACATTAAAATTTCCTTTTATAAAATAATTATGCCCCAAAGTTTTTAAATAATAAAATAAAATATTTTCAAAGCAATTAAATAAATAAAAATGGAACTTTCATTAAAATAAACCTTTTAAATTAATAAAATACCATAAATAATTCATTTTAAATTATTTAAATATTTCATAAAATAATGTTTTAAATTAATATATGTATAAAAATACGGGGTATTACATGTTAGGTTCTTAGGCGATAGAAGTAATCACTTCCCCTCCTTCTAGCGCCAATTATTTCGGATGTAACCCAACAACCTGTATCTAGGATCCGTGAAGACCCTGTCGTCCAGCTAGGCACCTAAACAGTAAATGCAGATAAGCTAACCTCGGGTTAAGTCCGGGGAGAAGCACTCCGATGATAAAGTTAGTGATGATTTGGAAAGAAGAAGAAGAAGAAGAAGAAGAAGAAGAAGAAGAAGAAGAAGAAGAAGAAGAAGAAGAAGAGGAAGAGAGAGAGAGAGAGAGATTGTAGTTACCTTAAAAATGAAGAATTAAGTGGCTATTTATAGAAAAATCAATTGTCAGGTGGCTACATGCCATGCAAATATCATAGATGCCAAGTGTTAGTAGCTATCCGTCACGTGGTGGGTGGAAAGTGGCCATAACATATGACATGCTAGCCGTTATGTCCATTTGGTATTCTGGTAGCGATCCGACCCATAATTAAGTAATACAATATTGGCACCGATATCATCCCATACACATACTTTTTAAAAGGTAGAGATATCCATCACCGTAGGTCCTATTCAATTCACTTGAATTTTAATGATGTAGTGAAATATTTATTAATCATAATTGAATATTAGCGATTAAAAGTCAATCATTGGAGTACTAATTTAAGTTGATATTTACTTGTTAATTATAACGAATTTTGTTACCTACTTTTTGTTTTTTCTCTAGCGATATTTATTACACAAGGTTAGTTATCGGCTTCAACTAATTCATACATACCAGAACCGATTTTACTAATTGAAACTTATTATATCTAAGTTGAATGCATGAAGTGATGAAGAACACTTTAGCTATAACTGTATAATCATAGACATACATTAAATAAATTGTTACACAATTTTGAAACAAAGAGTGAACAAAATTGAAATATATAAGTATTAATTAAAGTGTAGAAATGACTCAAATGAGAAAAGTAGCTTAAGAAATACAAGTATTGTTTTCTATATGATTGTTTTCATGATTAAAGTATCACATAGTGCTAAACTTTGCATTTTAAGCCCACGCAATCATATAAATCAATAGAATCTATATCCAAACATGAAACAACAAAAGTTGACGCACCTCCAATTTAACAATTTCTAATAAAGCAAATCAACATTGAAAGTGTACATTAGATTAGCATCCAATAAATCTCCATTAATCATTACTCTTGTTAATGATTACACCACAGTACAGTAATCTCCAAACCAAGCATCTAAAACTTTTTGCATAAAATCTCATACATTTCTTAACCATTACTCCCTTCGTTTCAATTGCAAAATATTTGAAGTTGAAAGCTTTTACGAGATTGAAAAGGCAAAACAAAAACAACAACAATATTTAGAATCGAGTAATTACAATATGGACTACTACCTCTGTTTTTTTTTTTTAGTTGTAACAAATGAATTTTTTATATCTCACAAATAATATCTTTTTATTGCAACTAAAAAAAATGAACATAGTATATAAATCTACAAAGCTACAACTACCACCACCTGTAAATCTGTGACTTTACAGTGAATAGATTAAAAATTGAAGGCCCAAATAAATTATTTCAACAGAATCAACACTATCACTAGCCTATCAACAATATTTCTCCACGTTAACAAACTGCCAACAAAATTTCACATGCATCTTTAGTATCTAAGCTCTATGTCCGAGTGATCCTATTATTTTTTTTTTTTACTTCCATCGTTTAGCTCTTGCTAGTATACACTTGTAGCCTAGTAGCATGATTGTAACCATTTAACGGGTAACCTCGAAATTAAACTTGCCACTCGGTCATACCTCCACATGCATAAATCAATAAGGAAGTTATTCCGTCTTACCAATAACATTACCAGGGAGAAATTTTAATTTTCCCGTATAGAGTCTAACACGGTTCAATTTTGAATTAGTCGGAGTTTACTAAATTTTGAACATACTCCCACCTAACAAAAAAAAATTAAAATTAGAGTGGGTACGGTGGCAAATTGTACCAATCCATCTTATCATTAATAATTACAAAAACTAATGATGTACACACACGGGGACGTGATGATCCTGAACCACCTAATAATTTAAAATCTCATCCGTCGGAAAGCAACACCGCGGCTGACGACGACGGTGGGGAATAGAGAAGATCATAAGGGGCCCAAAGACTATCCAAAGGACAAGGACGATTAGAATCAATTCTAAGCCAAGGTTTACCCTTCCCACTCCAATGTAACAAACTAACAGGCCCTGGATGTAAATCTCTACATAACCCTCTAATATTATCACCCCCTAATCCATGTTGATTCCATCTATGCTCAATTCTCTGAACTTCACCTCCAAAAACCAGCAAAAATGGCGGCAATGAACCCAGTTGGTAAATACGGTGTCGTTTTTGCAATCTCATCCAATTCTCTAGTTTCGAAGTGAATCCCCCTTTTCTCCATTTATTTACGTCGATTACCATAACCCCGGTGTTGAAGTAGCAGGGTGGTCGCTCTCGTTTCTGGAAGGTTCTAGAGAGTTCTGAGGTGGTCCAGAATTTCGGGGTGAAGTAGCTGGTGAAGTTAGCGTGACAGTATTCTGGAGCACCCAATACGTGGGCCCGAAGATCGATGTTCCAGAGATTGGAAACGTCGTCGACGACAATGAGATCGGAATCGAGATAAATCACACGATCGACGGAGTTCGGGAGGAGTTCAGCGAGGTAGATGCGCGCGTAATTGAGGGGTTGGTCGAGTGCGCGGCGGACGGAGGTGGAGATTTTGCCGCGGACTAAGAGAGGGTCGAAGTGGAGGAGAGAGACTGAGAGAGAAGGGAAAGTTGAGGTGATGGTACGGTTGAGGTTATGGAAGTGGCGGGAAGAGGTTAAAAAATGAAATGCGATGTTTTCCGGGCAAGCCGAATGGCGTAGAACTGAGAATACCGCGGCTATTGAGCCGCGGAGGTATGTTGTATCGAGGGTCATGGCAATGTGGATTGTTGAACCCTGTGTTCCCGCAACGGCGCAGTTTGGGCCGTTGCGGAACGCTGGGGCTTCGCGGAACCGAGGGATATCGGTTGCGAAGGCGAGGGTGAGGAGGGTGAAGAGGAGGGAGAGTGAGAGGGGGAGTGGCATCGTGGTGGTGGTCTAGGATGGAGGGATAGGATATTGAGAGGAGATTTTGGTGTATTTTTATTTGATGGAAAATTGTTTAATTTGTCTTAGTTGAGTGGAAAAAACAATGAATATAATCGGTGGAGTAGGGGGTGAGGTGGGGTCAAGGAGAGTGATATTGTTGTTAGAAATAAACAAACAAATGGAAGAACGCCAGGCTGGAAAGATGGGTCCTTTGATTATAGTTTGTTTAAAAGGGAGGGTTGTAGGAAAGCAATTTGAGGGAGTAGAAGAATTTATGAGGAAAAGCTGGAGTGAGTAATAAAGAAATAATAAGTGTTCTTAAGGGACGTTTTACCAAATTGAGCTTTAAACGTAAACTATTGACAAAAATGGTTGCGTGGCAAAACTATTTACCAAACTAAGCTTCCAGGGTAAATCGCTGTCTCGGACAGCGTTTTACCCCTGGTTTTTTTTTTAAAAAAAATTCAACTGGTAAACGCTGTCCCAGACAGCGTTTTACCTTCTGTATTTTTTTAAATTCAGTAGGGCATAAAACGCTGTCTCGGACAGTGTTTTATCCTTGGGTTTTTTTTTTTAAAAAAAATTCAATGGGTATAACCGTCGATTGCAGCATGCAAGCTGTTTGCTGAAGCTGTTGGAGGACTGCAGCATGCAAGCTGTTTGCTGAAGCTTGTTTTCTGCCTGGATGCTGGTTGCTGTTTCCAGCAGAAAAGCGCTGTCTGAGACAGCGCTTTATGTTCAAGCATAACGCGCTGTCTGAGACAGCGTTTTATGTTCAAGCATAAAGCGTTGTCTGAGACAGCGCTTTATGTTGAACATATAAAATAGTTGTAGTTGAATTTTTTTTTAAAAAAAACCCAAGGATAAAACGCTGTCCGAGACAGCGTTTTATGCCCTACTGAATTTAAAAAAATATAGAAGGTAAAACGCTGTCCGAGACAGCGATTTACCCTGGAAGCTTAGTTTGGTAAATAGTTTTGCCACGCTACCATTTTTGTCAATAGTTTCCGTTTAAAGCTCAATTTGGTAAAACGTTCGTTCTTAAGATCCGTGATTGAGGATAGCGATGGTATTGAGTTGGGATGGTTCTATTTGGTCTCGGTAGAAAACTAGGAAATATTTTTGCCAAATTTTAGGTTTAACTCTATTCCTCATGGAAATGTTTGTTTTGAGTTTCTTAAATAGAGTATAAGATATTTTTTCTTTTCGGATACTATAAAAATTTTATACGAGTAGCATTTCTAATGTAACTCTTAAATGGACCTGCTTTATACTAATTTATTGTGGACCCCTAACATTAGAGACACGGTTATTTTATTAATAAAAAAAAATCACTATATTAAAATAAAGGTTATTATGTTGAAATAAAAGTCATTGTGGCATTATAAAGGCTATAAGAGGTTATTTTATTTTTGTTAATGAAACTTTTTATATACTGGTCACTATAAATAACAAAGGTTACTATGTTAAAATTAACGTCACTATGTTTAACGTAATGTCGTAATTCGGGTTTACAATATTGTTAAAGGTCACACAAGTTTTAATAAAGGTTACTATGTTAAAAAAAAAAAGGGTTATTATGTTAAAATTAGGGTCAATATGTTTCATATAATATCAGTTGCGTGCGTATAAACCTCGAATTCCCAATACTTATATTGTAGTTTTGGTCCAAGTAAGATTTTTTTGCCATTCATATATTTAATACGATAATACCCCATTCAAAAAATTCTCATATCTAATATTTTCTTCATTTATTTTCTTTTTTTAATTGCATTATTTGAATTCTTAAACTATTCACAAGGAAAAAAAAAATTAGAAGAAAAAAAGTAGCCACTTTATATATATATATATTTTTTTTATCCATGTACGTATTGGGATAAAATATAAATTATAGAGTATGTAGACTAGTTTTTTTTTTTTTACATACATATCGGTTATTTGTTAATGACAATATAAAATATATGCGGCGTAGTGATAAACATTAGTTTTTCTTCAATATCTAATCATCAAATAAGATTAATATCTATCATTTTAAACATATAGATAAACTCACTTGGAAAATAATTTAGTAAGTAGCAATAAATTGTGGAATTTCATCTTCAAAGATTATATTTTTATTATACTTCATCGTTTAACTTCGTAGTTAAGCTTTAAGTGGTCAAATCTTATACACTGTACTCCCTTAATTTGTCCCCCCAAAAAATTCACCGTTATCTACTCGTATTTTTTAATCACCTTAATCCAGTCACTTTATCATAAAGTGTATATTGCTTTTTATTCAACTTTTTTTTTTTTTTGTGAGACGGGATTTTTCAGATTATTCACCTTATTATATACAACAAATGACTTTTATTTTAGAACAAAGAAAGTAAACAATTTTTCCTTTTTGCTTTTCTTTTTATTTATTTTAATTTTAATTTAATACAAAGTATTTATTTGTAAAAAGTTTGTCCACATAGATACATAATTGACTTTTATCAAGAAATTTTGGCATTGCCAAAAAAAACAAGCATTTCTCTTTTAGGGATTACATTTGTTGTGGTCCATGAAAACAACTATATTGCTTACAAGGAAATGTGAGAACGATTATTATGAAACACTCCATAACATTAAGGCAATGAAGTAATTCAAGCTTTAAATGCAGTATGGTGTTATTACACTCATATTGACCTAACCAAACGACCAACTTGTTGAGCATTGTTAATTTCTCAAACTCCATCTTTTTCTACTCTTGGAAAGTAAGCTTAATTGACCAACATAAATGAAAAGTGTACATCTTGCTTACTATTTACTCTGAAAAGTAAACAATTTGCTTACCATTCAATTTTTATGGGGGTACATATAAAAGTATAATCTGAAAAGTTTGCTGAGAATTGACCCAAACTTGAGTGGCTTGGCTATCACTCGTACAAAAATTGTGACAATAGAACAATAGGAGTTTCTTCCTCATATTGTTTAACCCACACCAACAAGATTTTCATATATAACGCCAGGCCCGTTTAATATATTGTGTACGTCTTGTGTTTGAACAAAGTCGGGCCTAAAGAGAAAACATTATTTTAAAATCTTCTAAATTATTTTTACCTTTTTTTTTTTGAAGAATAAATTATTTCTAATATAATGAATGTAATAAAAACAAATCTATAATTACTCGTAATACATAATTAAGGACACTATAAGTCTCCCTCAAAAAAAAAAAAAAAAAAGAGGACACTATAAATCAAGATGTACATTGAGAATTGTGCACAATCAGTTCTAGAAGAAACATAAATGAATGAGGGAGTAAATAGCAACAAGATACTTCCTCTTCAATTTTTTTTTTTTTTTTTTCTATTAAACTTGCAACACTTTAACACATAAGTTTGACTAATAGTATATTTAAATACATATTAGTATAAGTAATAAAAAGTTTATATTATAAAATCGATCTTGCTAGTGAGCTTGTAAGTGACCCTAACTAATATAAAAGTAACTTGTTCCTTACCAAAAGCCTTTAAGTGACCCGAACCAAGAGCCCTATACTCATTACAAGTTATAACAATGATCAAATCTTCACAAACAATAAGAATGCACCAATATGCAAGTGTTATGTAAGTTATGTGGGGCTTGAATCCACACCATGTAACTTGTACACTATAATTGCTATACTATTTGAGTTAATAGCCTTATAATTAGACAATTTCCATCTTTATCATAACAATGTGTTAAGGAAAACTTTTGGAAATATCGAACATTCGCCAACTAATCAGCCTAGTTCAGTAAACATTCTTTTCGGTACTGTTTACTTAATTGTAAAGTCATAGGTACCAGGTCAGTTTTTATTGATCTCTACAACACTTTTACTTCTTGATAAGAAACCTTTCGCCAATTTATTCAGCTATTCATACAAACTTACAACATAAAAACTAACTAAAATACAAAACCTATTCTAGAGATCTTCATATTCTTCAAGTCTTGAAGCTTTCTTTGATCACCACATTTGATTTCTTCTTTTCCTTGAACATTATTCAAGAAGGCTATCAGTCTTCAATTACTCAGAATAGCTTTTACGGCACATGAGAAATAATTGATAATACCAAAACAGGCAGCAACCAGTTAAGTTGTTTGTCATCGATCACTTCAAAACCAAGAACCTAACAATTACCACTGTGCCTATGTGTGTTACCTCCACTTCACTACCACAAGAATAGTTATACTATGATCAATAGCCTTAAAATTATCAATAAGAAATGAGATATTTAAGATTATAACACATATGTTCAGTAGATCCGTTGTCAATTGTCCAGTCAGAATTAAAATGTGAAAACAGGCAAAGCTTACCTGTTCCAAATGCTGCACTGTCATCTTTTGTCGCATCATTCTCGACTTTCCTTCCGAGAAACACTAGTATTCTAATTTCCCATGAACTCCTTGAAATTGCTATATTGATCCATGCTCAAAGAAGTTGTTACAACATCTCCAATGACACTATCATCATCAAAATTCTGTGCAAAGTTTGCAAACTTCTTAGGATTCTGCTTGAAGTCTTATGGATAACCATATATCTTGAAACATCTTTCAATAGTGTGACCAAGAACCTTGCATTGATCACAAAAAAATTGAATATCTCATGTTGTCAAATCTTCCTTTTCCTTACTTGAAACCGAAAATTCATTTTACGAATCTGAGAATTTGGCTTTGTAATTACTATTATCATAATTGAAATTTATTCTGTCTGCTGCAAAAGCATAAGACTCAGTAGAAATTGATCTATTGTCTTCCATAAGATCATGAGAATGTACTACAGAATGTAAAGTATTAATCACTGACTTGTGCGTCTCTTCTTAAATCAACATTTTATATGCATGAGTAATTGCAACTAATGGTTGCATCATCAAAATATAGCCTCTAACCATAGCAAACTGCTCATTTATTAGATTCATCAAAAACTAAAGGAAAAATTGGTTTTATTAATCCCAACTTTGGGCCATTTACTTTAATTAATCCCAACTATCGATTATACCCGAATAATCCCAATTTTGGGGGGTATTGACTTTATCAGACCTTACCGGTTATCAAACCTGTAATAGCAAGTCATTTTCCACGT